CCTGCATCTCCAATGGCAGAATACCTGCTTTGACCCAACACCTGGCAATTGTTTGTTGGCTGACAGTTTCCCAAGTCATGTGGACCATTTCGGAAACATCAAGCATGTGAGGATCGTATCCATCCCTCATGCCTCTCGTTCCAGCGGTCTTTTTCTTATTTATATTGCGCTTCGTGGCTCGGTCCTCAATGTCGCGAATAATTTCCCGCAACATGTGAGGCGATAACGTATCTTCCAGCATGAAATAATTCCTAGACCCATTGGCTGATACACTGCTGTGCAATTTGGTGGTTGTGTCATTATCGATACTTGGCCTCTTACATCTTCTAAATCCGTACCGTGCGGCCCGCAGTTGTCCATCAGGAGAAGAACGGGGTCAGATGTCTTAGACCTGACATACGGAAGAAAGACCTGATAAAAACCATTTCTTAAAAGTAACAGCGTCGGACCACGCATTGAATTGACTAAAGTAGGGCACTGGCGGTTGGCCAAGCCGGAAGCATCTTGGGGTTTTGCTCTTACCAATAATTGCCATCGGTAGTTTCAACGATCCATCAGCATTAGTGCAGACATATGCCGTGATGCGGTCCTTCGAATTCATGCCCTTAGTTCCTCGAACAGATTTTCTGTTCTCATGTGTGCAGATGTATGTCTTCCGTGGTAGTAATTTATAAAAAAGTCCTGTTTCATCCACGATGAAAATTCTTTGAACCTTGAACTTGCTCATCAATCCGCGCAGTAGTACAATGCGCTCTCTAATGGCGTTGAGGTTAACAGAGCCAGCTTCGCCATGTAAGGAAACCGAACGAAGGGAATGACGCTGTACAAATTTACTTACCCATCCACATGATGCTTTGAAAATATCCAGCGCATGATGCTCGGCTGTGCACATCGTCTGCTCTCCCTTTAAAAGTTCGTCCTGAATCAGCAATGCCTTTGCTTGAATAACGCTTTGAGTAACCGGCATCTTGAGTAAAACGGGAAATTGTGATAAATTCAAGAAGCAACTTTTCGAGCAACGGAAGGGCACATGCTTTGACGGATTTGCTGTTTAGAGAGACGTTTGAAGTAATTGCCGTTTCCATGATACGGTCGATATTTGATCGAATGTTTGTTACAGTTCGGCGAGAGATCTGGTACTTTTTCATGATGTGATTAGCGAGTGTCCCTGTTTCCATTTGTCTCGCGATGTCTGCCTTTTGATTGACTGTGAGGCGCGTTCGCCGCGTTTCAGGCTTGGGCTGTGACGATATTTTTGCTGTCATGTCCATTCGAGTCAGAAGGGGGGCGATCAGGAAAGGTGGACAATACGAGGGTTGGTTGGGCGATGGGTGGAGGTCGCCAGTCACAACGAAAACGTGAATGTGGAAGAATATGGATCCGGGCGAGTGCGGGGCGTCGCATTGCGCTCGACCTAGAATTGGACCTCACGTGTCGTGTTATGATAAGCCGTGACAACCGGGTTTTGGTGGCACTAAACCGAGGGAGGCACTGTCAAAGAGGGCACTAAATCGTGACCCCCCCCTGTACACAGAACGACCCTCATAGCGCTCCCGCCAATTCGCTAGGAAAACTGGCGAACTGGAGTCGGAATGTTTTGCATTCCGGGGTGCCGCCACATTTGGTGATTTGAGAAAATCACAGTTTCACAGTTTCGGCATGCACCCATTGCACGGAAGCACTGTACTCGTCACTGCATGTAATATTTTTTCGCCTTGAGAAAGGAGTTCAAGACAATCCGCGCAGCTCCTACCCCGTGCGCTCCCACTGCGCGACAAGCTCGTCAGTTGCCATTCCTCCCGCCGTCTTCGCAACGACCGTCACAGCTTTGCCTCACCTTCACACGCTATGCCAGCGGACGCCCCGACAGCTGAGCAGCATGTTGTCCTCCTAGATCGTAAGTGATAGTATGCAATCGTCGCAGCTTTGCGAGCGGCTTGCAACGAGTATTTCTCGGCCTGCGCTGCGCTGAGTATCCACATCAACCTTGCTGTGTACCGCCTCATGTTGTCCAGTCTAACCTCCTCTGCTATTTTCGCATACGACGGCTCTGCGCTCCTTCCCAAAGGCTTGGAGGAAATCTCTGACATTCTCGATACCGTAAGCACTGCTCCCACCCGCCCTTCTTACCATGCCATCGAGATACGTGATTGCCTTCTGTTGAGACTCTAAACTGACCATGAAATGAACTTGTACCATCTGCACTCATTGAGTATAGGGTTTGGATAGAGAGAAGATCGCTATTATCAAGGCCCTGTGCGAGCAAGGCGTCAACCCGCAGGCCCTCGCCCAAGTCATAAAGTTCCTCCGCCGTGAAGGGCGAGTTGAAGCTAATCAATAACGCGTTGTATCTTTCTTTCTTGTATTTTTATGCCCTACACATAACACGTAGACATCGTTTATTTTTTCACACGGTACATTCCTGCGCTGAGCTCAACTTTGTTCTCCTTGACGAGCTTGGCGAGGAAGGCCGCCAGCTGCCCCTGTGTCTTGTCGTAAGCAGGCGTTTGCACAAATCGCTGTAACATGCTGTGGATCTGTTCGAGCGGCAATTGTTTCAAATTTTGCAGCATCGCCATCACGTAACTCTGGTAAACCGCCATTTCAGCTTCCTCACCCGTCCCGGCGCCATCGCCTTCTTCCCCTTCTGCGTCTGATCCATCCCCGCCACCGGTGACATCGACCTCACCACCATGTTCCACGGTCTCATACTCTCCGGACAAACCCTCCACGGCACGCACGAATCCGAGGTTGACAAGAGATTGGACTTTCCGACGAATTAGAGTCTCATCGTCTAGGTCTAGTTTCTCCTGTAGCGTGGATAATGAGAGTCTGCGCTCCTCACCGAAGTAGTGCAGAATCGTCGCCTGAATTGGGCTCACGGTCACTTCCACCTTCCTTCCATCCTCGAATTCTAACTTCAACGCCACAGCGCCTAACCCTGGTTGCCATTTGAGCTTGCGCGGTTCTTTCAACCTCGTGTAAAACTCGCTGAACAAGCTCATTTGCTGGTAAATTCGAGGCATTGGCTTAAACATTGGTTCGTCTATTAGTTTTGGCCAGAACTCCTTGGATATTACAGTTGTGTCAAACGATTCCAGCTGCCGTTGCTTTTCCGCTGGCAGAGAGCGCTCGACTTCG